TTATTTAATCTTAGCTGGGTGTTGTGCAGATGAAGCCTGGACAGACCATAGGAACGCTCCGGAGACTGCTGAGGGGTTCGGTCTCTACGGATGCAGAACATATTTCTATGTGTGCTGGAACGGGAGCCATCAGATGATGCTGGCTTGTGTCAGGACTGAGGTGTAAATTAGACTGGCAGAAGGCGTGAGGGAAACACTACCACATGTTATGGCTGCACACGTCCAACTGGTGTTAGCAAATCCAGCCTTTCCACAATTAGGAGTGTTGTGTCTGCTGCAAGGCTTTCGCATGTTGGCGCCTTGTCGCTGAAGGGCTATCTTCTAAGATGAACAGGAGGAGGCCATGTTGTATACTGCTATGTATATGTGAATGCAGCATACACAATACCCAGGGATTGATAACCTCAAAATGCACAAAGGCCCTGATTCACCAAGCTGTAAATGCACTTAAGGTGTGCTAGAAGACACTTTAACATGCCTTAAAAGCACTTTAAAGGGACACTAAACTCAGGAGTTACATTTTAAAAATACATTCAAGTACGTTAAAGGATAATTAAAGCCTCGGGCTGTTTTTGCATATATCTATGACTAGCAAGCAGTAGATATATGCAAAAAAAAAAACGCTTTGAAAAGGGTTAATACTTACCTGTGGCCTCCCCACGCGCTCCCGTCCGAACATTTGAAAAATCTCCGGCGGCCGCAAAGCATCATGGGGCGGGCGCATGCGCAGATCACATTTTCGGCCAGGACGGGAGGAGAGACACAAGGTAAGTCTATGGACGGCGTGCACCCGCATGCAGGCACCGTGGGACAGGAAGTGCCAGCAAGCGCAGAGGAGTCAGCGCTGGATCGGAGACCCGCCGCAGCGCTGGAGGGACAGATGAAAAGGACAGGAAAGAAGAAGATCGGACTAAGAGACATAATTTAAGGTAAGTGCTGACATTAACATTGGGGGGAGGGAAAAACATTTTTGACTTTAGTGTCACTTTAACTTAACAAAAATGTATCTTATTTGTGTATCACTCGGCTGTAGATCCTCCAATCATCTCTGAATTGGTGCTGACACTGTCCTTCCTTCTGGAGGGGGGCTACTTTTGTTCCCCATGGTCCTGTGTGTGTTGTAAAGTACCCACCGCTCCAAGCTCACTCTTGTGATGGACTACAATCTCAATACAATTTGGTAAACTAAATGTGAGATTGTAGTTCATTACGGGACTTGGTGATCCTGCGAATAACACACTTCCTGTCCTAGAATGGCTACACTCATCGCGCTGTATATATGGAGAGAGCCATGGTTGGCACCCACAGTGTCATATACTGTATACTAGATGTGACACTGGTATGTAGATACCCTTCTAAACATTTTTAGACAGTTTGGTGAAGACTCTTTTCTGTTCCTCAAGGACTGTGCCCCATGCACAAAGCCAGCCCCATAAAGACATGGTTTGATGAGTTTGGTGTGCCTTACCACAACTCTACTGAACACCTCTAGGGTGAATAGGAAGACCAATGGTGATCCAGGTCTTCTCATCTAACATCAGTGCCTTACCTGACAAAGGTTCTTTTGGCTGAATAAGCACAAAATCTCAAAGGCGCACTCCAACATTTTGTGAAAAGCCTCCCCAGAAGGCTGGAGGCCATTATAACATCAGAAATTGGGGCAACTCCATATTAATACCCATGGGTTTTGGTATAGGATGTCTAACAAGGTCATAAAGGTGTGAGGGTCAGGTGTCCACAAACCTTTAGCCATATAGTGTATCTCACAAAGGCTACTAGTGTTTGGTCCACAAAAATACATGTACAAAGTGATGGTAAGAAGGACTTTGCTCAAGCTAGCATTGAATGTAGGTAAATTCCAGACAAATTAGGTATGACATGAGTATCTCATGTCTATAATTCAAGCAGATGCCCACCATCTGATCACTCTTCAGAGGAATCAACCATTGGATAAAGAAAAACCTGTACTGATCAAGGCTCTGCCCAACATATAAGATAGCATACCTGTGCTGCTCCTCCTCTCCTCCCCTGAAAAACGTACCTTTCTTTCAGAAAACACTGCTCTGGGCTCCCTTGGAGACCAAATGCCTGGGCATTAATCATGTGAGCTGCTTCCTGGATAACTCTTCCTCAAGTCAGGACCCAAAAAGTTTTCCAAAGAGGTCCTGTGACCAATGCTTAGGTGTTTTCTCATGTGACTGGCCACCGACAGCAGCAATTTTTTAGAACTTTTGTTTAAAATGTATTAGCCTAAAGCAGGGGTAGCCAAACTCTGGCTCTCCAGCTGTGGTGAAACTACAAACCCCATGATGCATCTCTCTCCGGGAGTCATGTCTGTGGCTGTGAGAATCTTGCAATGCCTCATGGGATTTGTAGTTCCACCACAGCTGGAGGGCCGGAGTTTGGCTACCCCTGTCCTAGAGGATCAGGGTAGGCAAGTGGGCAGGGGTGTTGTTTTATTACAGGTCCACTTTAATGCTCCAGATTACATGCAATGGATCCATTTTTAGTGGGCTAGTGTGTAGTCGTAGGAAAACTAAGGAGGTCTGGCATGGAATAAGAAATATTTTCTTAGCACACACCCTGCCCTGTACGATGCTCACACAGTCCTTTCATTAATCTAATGTGAGCTTCCTCTGCTGAATCAGCAGGCCCCTGTCCCCGGGTGGTGGCTGCCCGCTGTCCAGCAGCCTACAAATGTAGGTCACAGTGCTGTCAGCGGATGTTCCTGTGCTGGTCTCTGCACTAAATTCAGCAATGCTTCCACTCTGCAGGGCTTGCCTGTGTTTGCCTTCATAAGGACAGAGACTGGCTTAACCCTATGTTCATGGAGTGAAGTCATCCCATACACCAGACTGCTCATTAACGTGCGAGACGAGATATATGAAACATTCCACATGCCGCCAATGTACTGCTTTACATGACAAATACATAGAGATCAATGACTATGTGTATAAAAGTCTCTTATATTAAAGAGAACCTGTCTACTAGACACAGCAACACATTAAAGGTATACCTACGGTACCGGTATGCGGTTATTACCAGTAATTTTTCTGAGATGCCTTTCGTTTTATTCTCCGTTTACATGCAGGCCGAGCTGTCCAGCAATGGGGACAGTTATAAGGGTTTGGATATACCATATAACACTAACAGGGAGGCTTGCTTTCATTTATATGGTTTCAATCTTTTTCCAGTAAATGTTTCCAAACTGTTAGCTGGAATTAGGCTTTACTGTGGTTCCTTCCTCCCTAAAGTCCATTGAAATTACATGTCCTTCTAAGACTACCCTGGCCACAGGCCGACAACATTGCTGTGCATTTTCACTGCAGAATGAACCGTGTTGTCAGCTTGCAAAAAAAAAAGAAAAAACAACAGACCTAATGGCAGGATCAACAGGTGATAAAGCTGTGTTACAGGGGCACTCAGCATAACAAAAATGTGCACATGGGAGCTTGGGGCAGTGGAATGTACAGGGTCAGTGCTTTTCCCCATAGTTCTCCTTAGGGTAACGGGAGGACACAAACTAGCGGCCTCCCGTCACCGTAAGCTCAGTGTACCGCGAGCTACAGCTCGCGGTATACTGAGACGCCACACCTGAAGCGGATCCCGACAATTATGTCTGGATCCGCCCAGCTGCGTGAGTGACAGCTGGCTCTGCCTATCTAGAGGCAGAGCCAGCTGTACCCGCCCCCTCCCCCGTCCGATCCACCAGTCAGCGCTGGCGGATCGGAGCGGGGAGGGGGGAATCCAGCCCCTCCCCCTGTCACGGCAGAGAGCTGTGACAGGATCGAGAAGTGAGCGAACGCCGGTATGTGTTCTCTCACTTCCCGATCTACTGAGCCGACCTGTGACAGTCTCATTGTCACAGGTCGGCTAGAACTATGAGGTGAGTGAAAAGCACTCACCTCATAGTTCTCCTTTAAGGAAAAGTAATACAAAACTCCAGCCAAGTCACAAGTATTATACTCACAATCAACTTTTATTTCCTGCCTTACAAGTGTTCAATGTGACCACCATCTGCAGCACCGACAACATCAATGCGATAAGAGAATTCCTCCCAGGTGCGTATCAGCATATCACGATCCACTGAGTTGATCGCTGTTGTTATTCGATGTTTAAGGTTATCGAAGTTAGTGGGTAGCGGTGGAACATAAACGCGATCTTTTACATATTCCCACAAGAAAAAATCACACACGGTGAGGTCTGGGGATCTCGCAGGCCAAGCACAAAGAGCAAGGTCATTGGCCCCCTTCCGACCAATCCATCGCTGGGGCACTTTTTCATTTGAAAAAGTTCGAACCATTAGGTGCCAATGGGTGGTGCTCCATCTTGTGGAAAAATGAAGTCATGCGAATCTGCTTGCAGTGAAGTGAAGAGCGCGCTGCACCGTGAAAACCGAATTTGTTTTCGAGAACACTTTTTGCTGAGGACTCGCCATTCCGAGGGTACATAAACAACTGAATGTTTCCAGAAGAACGGCGCGACTACATCATTCAAACTCCTCTTTCAAATGGTCACTGACTCATTCCATGACGATGCGTGAGAACTGAAGCAATGCGTCATGATATCAGTTCATTCTGTTTGAATAACCCTGCATATGGTGGGTGTATTTCTGCACCCTGGATAACTGACTGGGCATGCAGCTCAGTGAATGGGTGTAGGCGGGTGTGCATGGGTTTATGCCGCTATTTGTGTAAACCTGCGCATGTGTAAAGCCATACACCCCTGGACACCCATTAAATCATGTGCAATATACAAAACATAACTTTATGGCTCCTGATATCAGTTGGAGACATTTCTGAGATCATTTAGAATTTTTTGACGGGTGCAGTTGACCTTCTGACCAGCTGTAAGCTGGGTTGGATCCCTATAGACTAATATGGGAATGCAAAACCCCTTTTGAAGCAGACCTTAGGGCTGCTTTGCAAAGCTTATCCTAAAGGCAGGTTTGCTTAAATTTAGCTCGTATGCCCATAAAGAACTCACAAACAGGCCATTACCTCAAATGCAGCAAACCACATCAGCCAGTCCAGGCGGTAGTGATATGGGGTGATCACACAGGGGCGCTGTGTCAGGTTTCCCGGCTTGCAATTAAACTCGTACTCCTCCCACACGGCATTAGGATCACTGGGGTCCAGACTGGACGTTCCTTGGATGACGACCTCAGTCCGCTCCTTGGTGATGCTGCATGGACACAGAAAAGGTCTGATACTTACAGAAATACAAATGGAAAACCAATCCAGCGAGCTCCTCATAGTTTTGATTGGCCAACAATCTGCTGAAACCCAATGAGATGAGTTTATGAGAACTGTAATAAAATACAACCTACAGTAAGCTGGGTTTCATCCTTCACCTACAAGAACAGCGAGGCCAATTCCAATACCGTGTACTAAACCCCTAGCCCAATACCTTCAAAGTAAATATGTGCTTTGTCCATGCAGGGCACAGCAACGGGCTCACTTTAATGCTGGTCTTACCAAGCAGCACATAGTAACCTTGACTTCCCAGCCTCACAAGCTGCTTTGTTTGGCGGTTCTCCCAGTTATGTGGAGCTTTGAGAAACACACACACACACACACACACACACACACACCACTTTAGCCCATGTTACATTACTGGTGCTTGGTTGCTCAGGCATCACATGGGGGTATGAAGGACCCTAATCTCTGTCATTAAAAGGAGCTTATAAAGATCTTCATCTTTTTTCTTCTGATTTTTTTTTTTTTTGAAGCCCGTGGAACGTGCATCTAAACAAACTTACCCCTGTGAACAAAAAAAGTGAACCGTGAAATCACAGCACACAAGGGTGCAAGGTCCTTCAATAAAGAAGGAACCTAGATTCCGACCCCCCGGGGCGCAAGGCTCCTGACGGGTTGAGACTGTTGGTCCACCAACCCGAAGGCCAGTGGACCCCGATCCTTTGGGGACCTGCCGAAACAGGTCCCTCACAGTACTAGGCAGGGGGCTCTCTCGAAGAGAGACCCCCTCCTGGATTGGGAGGAGACAGAGAACCCTATATAAGGGCACAGAATCTCCTCCCCACATCAGGAATAGGCCCCGAAGAAACCTGCACCTTCAGCATCTGTGGGTCAAAATTTAAAATAAAAAAGTGCCAATCGTGCATGGAGTGCTTAAATAAATCTAAAGTGCCAGTGCACCACTCTGACAGGCCTTAGGGGCCGGAGTGCAAAAATATATTTTCTCTTCTGATGGCCAAATGGAGCAGAAGTACTGTATAATCTTCTGGTGGGGCACTTTGCTCCAGTTTTGATAATTTCCCCTCACTGTGTGTAGAACGTGATGTCTCAGGGACCTTAGACTGCTGCAACGGAGGGGGGGAGCAAGACGGAATGTCTATGAGCAAGCCGGCTCCGAGCATCCGGTGAGTATAGATTTGTTTTCTTTTTGAATCTAGACGAAAACTAACACTTAACCCTTTCAGTGCAGGGGGGAGCCCCACTGCAAGGGTTAACATTTTTTACCTGGAGCTCTTCTTTAAAAAAAAAACTGAGTTATTTTTAGCCGAGTCCAATGAGAAAAAAACAGTTGCGTGGCTAAAATAAAGATGTAAAATCTTTGTGACTTGAGCCTTCCCCATGCACACATCGCCACGTCTGCACAGAAGGTGAAATTATTAATATTCGTGGCACTTTTCTGGGCGCTGCGTTTCTCTGTCAGCTGGTACTGGAGATATGAAACATTTTTATTTTCTGTGCGGTTACTAGACAGGAAGTTTTGGAAAATATGGCTTCCCACTACACCACCATTTTTTTAAATTATTAAATAAACATCCTGTGTTGTCACCATTTTCTGCAACTATTAGTTATTCTTCCATAAAGATTATTACAGCCATTTGTACTTTAATATAAATAGGTTTTGCTCACGACGGCTCTTTAAAAGCGCAAATCCGGCCACAACTTTTTATTTTTCGTTTCGGAGAGAGGAGAGTAGGCTTAGAACCTTATATCAAATTTTTATTGCTGTCTTCACTGAGGAGTTTTATCCCCACTCTTTTTTTTTGTGGGTGTCGGACAGAACAGGAAATGAGGGATACCTCCTTAATAAGGACAGAGACAAACAAGTTTTTTGTTAGCAGAGTGGGGACGGGTTACAGCCTACATCACATTTTTGTTACTTTTAACAAAATAAAACCATACCGCACTGACTTCTCACACTGGTATGGGGTGAAGGCCAAAATGGTGGTACCGTGTAGATCCAATAGACAACAGAAGCCAGCATGGCAGGATCACGTACAAAAGAAGTCCCATGTCAAAAGAAACAATGTTTTGAAGATGCAGAGGTCCCCTCTATCACCAGTCACCTTGATAAAGAGGACCTCTGTGTCTCCAAAACATTTTTGTTTGGGTCTTGGACAATTGGATGTTTTCCTGGCATGCTGGCTTCTATAGTCTACTAGGTTTTTATTACAGTCTGGGCTTGCATTGTGCAGATTTCCCATCACTTCCTATCCGAGTCACTGATCTCAGACAGGGCAATAACCTTTTCCACATAGATAGCAATTAAAGTGCATCTATAGCAGCTCTAGGCAAACTCTGGCCCTCCAGCTCTGGTGCAACTACAAATCCTATAAGGCATTGCAAGACCCTGACAGCAACAGGCATGATTCCCAGAGCAGCTGCAGGGCCGGAGATTGCCTACCACTGCTCTATAGGCTTCTGTCTGACAGTCTAAACAAGTCCTAAATCCAGTTATTATGTAATGCACAAGCTTCCTATAGTTACAAAAATCTTCCTTCAGCTCCCCTGACAGATCCAAATCCTCCTTCATTTGTGTCTCACACGCTCCCCTCCCAGACACTGCAGTTCCTAGTGGGAGGCTTCAGCAAGAGAGGCAGTTGTATCAATCAAAAAAAGCAGGGGGCAAGACTAGGTGCTGCCAGGTGCTGATTGTCAAGATATAGGCTTGTCAATCAGCAGTGACAATGCTGATAACCATGCCCCCAACAACATCTAATCCTACTGTAGTGCAAGCAGGAACAGCCTACATTACAATACTGCTTTGAATTCAAGAGCAGTGCAGCAGTGTTGTCACCACCATCACAGGAAACTGCATGAGGCTGACTTCACTGGCAGAATCAACAGGTATCTGTGAGACATTGCAGGGGGACTAAGGGGAAAATTGTAGGTGGAGATGCACTTACCATTAAGTGCTGCAGGACATTGTTTTTGTAATGACAGCCAATTGTTCTACTTTAAAACCCAGCAGAAGTTCTAACCCTTCCCTGCCCTATCCAACGTGGAATTGTACTTTAAAGAACCACCCAATACGTATCTAGATAAAATGATGGATATGTAGTTTGATCTACTCACAACCTCATACCTCTAAAGGACCATGGAAGCAAAATCTCTGCACCTGAGCTCCCAGCTCCGCCCACATTCCCCAGCATCGTGTGGAGGTCTCATTCTCCCTTTTGGTTGAGAGTTCAGCAGATGGTCCGAAACTCCCAGAACCCACCCCATTCCTCACATGTGAGCATTCTCCAACTGCAGCTGACAGTGTAAATACAGATGAATGTCAAAGGACCTGGACCTGCAATAAAATCTCTTTGCTCCATTTTCCAAAAATGTTTAAAAAGGAAAAAATAGGTCTCCAGAAACAAATCCAGTTATGCTCTGTGTTACTGTAAAGGGCTGCATCCAATTTAGAGATATGGAAGGAACACGTACTTCGTCTACTTAACCCCAGCATTCTTAAGGGAGATAATTCATAAGCACTTAGGTGGTCCTTCACCAGATTATGAGGGGAGGTCAAGAACTTATTACAAAGCGTAAACACTATCATAAGCCAAAATAATCAGTGGAGCATCCCACGGCTTGTTCATGGATATGGCTTCCATCATTGCGTAATAACTTTAGTATGGACACGTTTCGATGAGGGCCAGGCGGGAAGGCCAGTTGAAGACACAACTGGGCCTGGAGCAATGATAAAATCACGGGGTCCACAGTAAGTGATAAGAAGGACATTTGGATCCGAGATGAATGGTGAATCTGCTTTCTCAAAGGGCAGAACAAACTCTGCGTTGGCCTAATTTTCCTTTAAAGGTTTCCAGCACTCATTTTATTTTTTATTGGACATTTTATTAGTTAAAAAATTAAGTTTCTTAATTTTTATTGGAAATGTTATGCTTCAGTTAGCACTTAGAAGGTGTTAGAAGCTTATCCATGAATTAGACAAGTCACACACTCTTTGGACCGCCTTTAGCTTTGATTACACCACACATTTTCTTCTGTGGCATCGCTTCAATAAGCTTATGCAATGTCCCAACATTTATTTCCGTCCAGAGTTGCATTATTCTCTCACCAAGATCTTGTAGTGATGATGTACAGTCATTTTGGTGTCACCCTCTCTGAAAAGTCGGGCTCTCGGTCATGGTCAAGAGAGAGGAGGGGACCCGGCGGCATACCTCATCCCACCGGATGAAGGTCCCCTCCTCTCTGCCAGCGTGCATTACCAAGATGGCTGCTGACAGGCATCAATAAGATGACCGTGCATATACGATGACATCACGGCGGGGTGTCACCCGGTGATGTATCATGCTCCCTAAACCACTCTTTCACAATGTGAGCCCGATGACTCCTGGCTTTGTCACCTTATAATATGCCCAATGTGCCATCAGGGAAGAAAACAATCCATTGATGGAAAAACCTGGACATTCCATATATTCAGGTCGGCAGCTGACCTTATTTTTTGGGGACATAAGATTGCTGAGCCCAGACTAGTTATCCAATGGAAAGCTCTGACCTATCTGCTTAGCTAAATCCAGGTGGTAACTTTTTTTTGGCCAGGCAGTTTATATGACTGTGGGACAGTAGTTACTTATCTACGTGCTGAGGAACTTACACAGGGCTGTCCAGACTCCCCTTCCCAATTACCAGCACAGGTAATTGGTTGTTCAGGCACTGAGTTCCTGCTTGGGCAAAGATGCCGGCAGAGAGATGACACAATCATGTAAATCCTGGTGCCTGTATAGTTCTTGGCTTTACAAATGTCTGACACAGATCACCACCAGCTGCAGCCTCTCACCTTGCTGCAAAGTTACAATGTTGCAGTTTGACCAATGAAGGGGGAGACTGAGGAAATGTCTTCTCCTGCCTGCAGCAGACTGATGACATCATCTCAACCTAGACAAAGTTAGTGAACTAAAGCTCGGAAATTGATATTTA